CTGTGGCACAACGCCATGGCCATTATAGCCCTCCAACTCTAGACAAATTGCCAGATTTGTTACTGCCGTCCTTTTAGTTGAGTTGGGGAGGGCTTCACTTTGCCGAACCTGTCACAGCATGTAAGGTGCCTCCGGGGCTAAGGGGTTCTCGCAGGGAGATCTCAGAGGTCCAACCTCACAGCAACAGTGCAAGGAGTGTAGAGCCGAGTGTGGGTGTATGTATTACTGTTTTCTGTCGCTTGCCCCTCCTCTATTTGAGTTGTTGGGCAAGGCTCTCTTTTATGTGCTTGCATGTTCTTCTGGAACTGTTGGAGGGCTCTTCGTGGTCGCACAGGAACTGGCGTCCAAGACCAGGAAACTTTGGTCCGGAAGAATTCATGCTTAAGATCTGGGCTCCATACTGGAGCCGGACGGATAACATACCGGACTATGCACGTGGCTGCGTGGCCTCCGCACTCGGCGCGGAGCGCCCCGAGCAACGCGCCCGTGTTTTGTTCTGCTCCCTCTATAAAAAGGGAGCAGAGGGTCGTTTTACGACCCTCTCTTGTATTTAGAACAATGGAACAGCTTTTAGATATTTTGCATTGCAACTGGAAGCCTTTCCCACCGAACCCTAACGGGCTATCCGCAAACAGGAACCTTCCTTGGTCGTTTGTTCTTTCCTAGACCAGAATGGCCTTCTTTTAATGGCCCTGGACAATATTACGACTCCCTGTCGGTAATGCCGCACAATACTAGTGATCCCGCTTCCGGACAGGTGGATCATTCTTTGGGTTACGGGTTGTTGCAGATGGGGCTCTTGGCTCCACAGGGATGATGGTACCTGTGCCCTACAGGGTTGTTACACAGGGCGCGTCCTCTTCTAAGGCCTGGAACGCTTCTATGTAGTTTCTCCTGGATCTTTTACATTGCCATACACAACACTGAGCTCTGCCTGCCCTCTATCCCGTCCTTTTCAAGCTGAAAACATTGATATTCTCATTTAAGAAGGATATTATGGGACAAGCTGCATAGCCCTGTAGGCCTGATGTGCTCTATGCTTTAGGGCAGGCTCTATTTACAAACCGACAGGCAGTTTAGGAGGTGCGGCCAGGCCCACAGGACCAATAAGGCTTGTATTCAGAAGGCAGTGCTGCAGTCGCTGATGCTGATTCTTGGCCCCTCTTCCAAAAGGGGACAAGGCCAAACAGTGGGGAAGGGCTTTTAACTCCCGTCGTACAGTGTATGTAGAGAGGAGGCGGCCACGTGCGCCCCTGGGCGCTACCCCGCTGGTAGCAGTGCCTTTCAACTGTGGCTGTTTTATACCGGTACACAATCTGTGACAGGGTGTCGGTTCGTTCGGATTGGTGTGGCCGAAGGCGCGGGTTGCGGCGGGGAGGCGGAAGGTAAACGACGGGGAGCTGACATATGTTGACCACTAGTAGACTTGGAAATTCCAAGCCTAAGAAATGCAAAGTATTGATTGCTAGTCTAGAGAAGCTTGTTTAAACTATCCAGCCCAATGCCTAGTTCCTTTGCTTGTATGAAACTGCTTCAGCAACTATATAAAAGGCCCTGCCCATAAACCGGCCGGAAGAGATTGGAATAACGACGGAAACCACCGCTAAGGAAACCGCGATCGCCGTCGTAATCATTTCGTCGCATAGAAGCTATCAACATCAAGTGGGTTTTCCCGGCTACCTACATCATTTAGTCGGGCAAGTCGATCGGGGTCTTCACACCTCCTCCCGAAAATGGCTAAAACCGTACTAGGTGGTTCTTTCTTCCGAATCCTTCCGGTACGGGTTATTTTGGAAGCCGAAGCAACACGACTGCGTACAGGTCGCGATACCTTCTGAGGCGGAATCTGATTGCCTCCCAACCCTCCATCCGGACCGCTGCTGACTTCTGCCTCTGGCAGAGGCCCGACGTCCAGGCTCGCGCGGGGAGACGAAATGGCTCGAAGAGGGGACATGCTGGGACTTTGAGGACTCTGTCGCGGGGTAGGCAGAGCTTGTCCCGGGGTAGGCGGAGCTTGTCCCGGGGGCATTTCAGCTTCAGTGCCGTCCCAGTTGATGAGAGGATCTTTAAGAGTGATGTGGCTATCCTCGTGATCAGGTGATTTGATGTCGGAAATGGTTGACCGATCAAAGTAGTCGTCATAGTTGAGCTCGCTGTCGTCGGGGGGGTCGTCGGACTCCGACGAAAGGTAGTTGAAGAGTTCTTGGTCGAAATCTTGGCAGAAAGTGCTTGGGAGCTCGAGACCCATTGTGGGCATGGAAGGTCGGCCAGACTTATCATGGTGGCCTGACATGAGCGTCGCCTCCGAAAATTCCCTGTGCTCCCATAGAGGCTTTGCAAACCCGACCCCGTCGAGATCGAAAAGCCGGTCAGAATGTTCGAGGTTGCCGCTGCAGAAGCCGAAGAACAAGTCGCCGCTGTAAAGGCATGCATGAGACTCCATGTTGTGGCTGCGCTTGTATTATTCTGGCTTTGCTGACAGGGACAGAGTGAGGAGGAGAGTGAAGAGTAGAGTGAGGAGGAAAAGTGAGAAGAAGAGGAAAAGGTTGAAAAGGGGGCCCTGGGGCCCGTGGACCCCTTTATATAAACGCTCTACGCCACGGCAAGGAGCAGTCCGCTACAACCAGCCAGGGAAAACGGACCCCTAGTTACTCCGCCGCCTGCCAGGCACGCGTTTCGAGGAGCGATGGCGACAGGAGCGAATGCATGGTCACGAGGACGGACCTGGGAACAGCGGGAGGAGCAGTGGCGTCAACTTGTCTCGCAGCTAGGACGGATCTAAAAAGTCTCAGGGTTTTTACGCCGGCCAAGATATCGACGGTCTCAGGTTCCACTACATTTTGGTATGCGGCAGCACGACCGGCTACGTCGTCGCTTCGCGCCCGACCAAGGAATAGCAGGAATAATAAGGTTATTGCCGACGCTGCTGGTGCTCGAGGCGAATCGGGTACGCGACGCGTGGATATCGCGGGTCCTCTTGGCCTCCAAGAGCTCCTTCCTGCGCGTCATAAAGGCCGTATTGACGGGCCTGTCGCCTAAATCTTTCGGCCTGGGGCAAACGTACACGCCTGTGGAGCGCCGTCGGCGGTACCTCGCGCCTTAAAGACGCCCCTGAGGGCTTCCGTGCTGCCTACAACGACCAGGCCGGGAGCCTGGAGCTGCGAGACTGGTCCTGGGAATGCGTCAGGCCCTCTATGTTCTCGCAGGCAGGCATTCCCAGCGTGCTGCAGACAACCTCACAGCTCCCCAGCTCCCTCGACGTCGCCGTCCACGCGGTCCTACAGCTCGAGGATGACCGCTCTTCAACGCGGGCCACGGGGCCGTATTCATGTGCGACAGCCTCAACGAGCTCGAGGCCTCGGTCATGGTCTCACAGGGGCGCGCCAATCGCGGCGTCGGCGCCGCCGGCCTGCGCCGCGTGCGCAACCCACCCTGCTCGCCCGCGTCATGCTAAACCTCGGCGGCTCATCTAGCCCCTCCTCTGCCAGTCCCCCTTGTGACAGCCATCTTAGCATCCCCTCGACGCAGAGCAATACGCTCCTGCACGGCCCCGCCGAGCAGCTGGCGGCGTAATACGGCCTAGCCCTCGTCGAGCCCTCGTACTTCTTCACACAGAAGCGGTGGGACGAGCACGTTACGGCGCTGGAGCGCGAGAAGGCGTCCGGCGGCCGAGCCCGCGACCTGGTCAGCGACCGAGTACCCGCCGCAGGGCACGGTGAGTGTTATGGCACAGCGCTGTGGCTTAACGCCATGGCCATTATAGCCCTCCAACTCAGAACAAGTGCCAACTTGTTTTTGTTGTCCTTTTGGTCTAGGAGGGGAGGGCTTTCCTTTGCCGAACCGTGACAGTGGGCGCCGTGACGTTCGACTCGGACGGCATGCTGTGCGCGCCACCAGCACCGGCGGCCTGACCAACAAGCTGACGGGCCGCATCGGCGACACGCCCGTGCCGGAGCCGGGTTTCAGGCTGAGGAGTGGGAGGAGCGCGGCGATAGATTCTGCAAAGGAGGTCTTGCAGTCTTAACATGCCTGCTGTTTTTTGAGGTCATATGTCATGGGTTATGGCTATCGGCCAGTCATGGTCATCGGCCATGGTCATGGGTATCCACCCGCCCCCCACAGGCCACAGGCCCCCCTCCTGGGATGCCTTTACCGGCCAAAAGACAAGCATTCGTGCTCCTACCTTTGGTGTCCTAGCGCTCGGGACTTGGACACAGGCCCTTTGTTACGGCCAGTAGGGCCACGACGGATAAAGCGCCGTGACGGGCACCACCCAGAGTGGTCACGTGATCATAAGTCACGCGACCAGGGCCCGGGCAGGCGCTGCACTAAATAGATCGTCTGACGGGACCGGCCTCCGGCCCACAGACCTGTTTGTAAAATATCTTCGCATAGTACTGTTTATCCGTGTCGTGATACCCTTGCCCTAGTACTACGCTGTCAGACGGATCTAGAATTGTCAGTGGCCGCCTTTTGGATCAAATGCACGTGGTTAGGTCCTCCTTAGGCCGGCTATGACAGCGTTGTTCATATCTACGGCGTACTGGAATGCTGTGGCAAAACGCGTTCGCCACTAGAAGTTAATGGAAAACGCCAGACGGTTCCAATAGCACAAATCTATAAAAGTGCGCGGCCCCCTACGACCCGGGAACGGGCAAAGAGAAAAGAAAAAAGAGGATTAAACCCAAGGAAAATTTTCTCTAAGAGGCTCCTGACCACTGGAAGAACAACACCCTCCCAGATGAACAGCCTAAGGCTATTGTCAATCCTGCTATGGCTGTACATTGCCCACGGTATTCAGTAGGCAGCCACAAAAAATGCTTCCCTTTCCACGTAATCCATGCTCGATCAACACTAATGCCAATACCTTCAAAATCTTGATGTTGTGAATGAGCTTGAACCGCTGCTGTGCCAGCAGCCGATTGCTTGTGTAGCAATTTAGTCCCAAAATCTGTCTGGAGGCACGAGCCTATCTCATCAAATGATAAAGTGGAAGTGAACCCCTCGAGCGTCGTCAGGCACGCGCCCGTCGCCGCGTCCCAAAGCTTGACGGTCTTGTCGTCAGAGCCCGACGCGAGCCTTTGGCCGTCGGGCGAGAACG